CCCATCTTTGTTGTGATATAGCTGATGGATTTTGACGGGTGTCGCCTCCTTTTGTCTTTGACGTCATACATGTTGGAAAAGCCAGAAATTATTAACAGTTACTTCCATCGAAGATTCTCTTCCGTAAACAACATGGAATTACGCTGGGTTACGTGCAATTCTGCCTATTCCTTGGTACTGTTTCTACGAATAACCATCAACGGTCATAGGTGGCTTTAGATTCCCTCGAGATTACGAATCTTTTCACAAATGGAAAACCAAAATGTGTCCCTGTTATCCTGCAAAACAAATATTCGACCAACTTCGTATACCCCGAGCTACCAACCACAGACTACCGTTTTCCAGTCTTGCATTGTACGTATTCCTTAGTTTTGAAATCGAAAACCTGTTTTTAATGTAGTTTCTTATCGCTGTTTCATTCTTGGATACAAGTCATGTGCTTACACCAGCGTAGCGGAAGACCATAGTTTGAGGTTTATAGTTCTCAAGCAAGCATCGGATGCTCATCATCGTCTTGTGTTTTTGGGTTTTCTGTAACGTTTCCCTCATTACCATCACCAGTCTACTCAAAGTTATTGGTTTACCCAAATATGATCTCATCTAAATATTTCCCGATTTCTCGTATGCTTCGCCGCAGTCGGTCTTGGAGCTGAAGGTACTTTCTCAGATGTATTGCATTTCAGTAGTTTCATCCACTTCTCATTCTCACCGTTATGCGCTCAACGATTGAGTGTTTTTATACTTTTCAGCCTGAATCCTAAATGTATTCAGTTATTGAAAATTATATTTTTACNTATTGTTCACTTTTCCAGGGAGAGGAAACGCGAAAAAGAACGGGAAGAACTGTGGAAAAAACTGGAACAACTTCGCGTTTCTGGCTCAGGCGATGCACTCAATGCTCAGTCATAGGCGACAACTAATGCCGCTAGTGGACAGTCATACGGTCATTTCTCGACTATCATATCGGACAGTCGACTCCTGTCTTTTCTCGCTTTTCCGGTTCGTCTATGAGCATGTCTGGCCTCATTCAATCCCATCTATCTGGCCGATCAGCTGTGTGTTCCTCCCCTTGCAACAACAGCCACAGCGTTCTGTCTACTCGCCATCCAAATCATAGTTCGCTCGATTTGTTACGGCAATCGGACCTTGGTCCGCGTGTGAGCTGCAGAGGCGGTTATTTTATTTTCAGCTCAACTGTCAGTCTCCATCACACAGTTCATCCTCGTCGTTTAATTTGCTGCTCACTTATTGCTGCCTGCGCCGCGCTACCTCCGTTCATCATCTTCATTCGTACGCTCGATCACAATTGTCACAACTGTGCTTTTTGACCGGCTATGCTCCTTGTTTGCATATTTGTGTCTGTGCGGAGTATGTATGTGAACGAGTGATTCACTTCGCTTGGTTTCCACTGGCGCGCACATGTTGACACCCGGTCATTCTCAGTCCCAGTACTCAGCCGTTCCAGATCACTCCCGAAACCACAACCATCCACCCAAGGTTTGACTAAATGCATCGTGTCCAGACTTCTACTCTACTCTCGTTGGTTTGTGTGTACGTCTGGACGTTTATACTGTTGTTTGATCGATTGCAAACGGTGTCCCAAACTAATTGGTTTTGCTTTTTCCGTTCTGTATAGCACTTTTCCACAATCCCTAATTTTGGGTCTGCCTCCCCACGTCTTGCTCCCTAACTTTTCCACATCGATTTTCGTTCAATTCATCCTGTCGGGATTTGTATTCAGTCGAGATCTGTCAACCGTTCCCGTCGGATATCTATCTTTCCGTATTCCTTTCCTAATGCGTTGAACGCCCGGATAAATCCGCTTTCTGTGATAGGATTTGATCAACTGATCACGGATCGATCACCTGGCCGATAGCGGACGAGCGTCTTCGGTATGCAGCGATAATATAGGTTGATGGTTATCGCAGATTACTTCTTCGGGACCAGGTTTCTTCACACACCGTGCATCAGGATGCCGACGAAGTTTCGTCTCTCTTTAACCCCACCATCTATCCTCTCCTCCGTACTGGCGCTGCTGACTATACG